ATTTAGGCAGACTGAAGATGTTTTCTGAGTGTTGCTATCCTCTTGTACCCTTCTATCTCAGTTTGTCAAAGCTGCTGCAATGTACCCAGGGTAGTTGTTACATTGTAGTGTACTGATTATACTGACCATTTCTTGTTCATATTTCTCTGGGTCACCACTTATAACTTTTGCTCAATGTTGTAAACAGCTTCCTTTCTTTACACTGTATGGGTGGTGGGAGTTGAAGTTCAGGTATTGTCCAGTGAATGTTGGCTTGTGGTATATGGATGTCTTAAAACCATGCTCTGTTCAAGATATTATGTACATCCAGGAATGCAAGTTTGTTGTTATTTTCTCTCTCCATTGTGAACTATATCGATGATCTTATTGAGTTCACATGGTCTAGTAGGAGCTGGAGCTCTTCCTGGTGTGGCCAGAGTATGAAGGTGCCATCTACATGTCAGCCATAGGGATGGCTTTAGTGGTGTGGATTCTAATGCCATTTCTTCAAAGTATTCTATGTATATGTTTGCCATTTCTGGTGATAATGGCATGCCCATTGCTAAGCCTTCATCCCGTCGATATATGGTCCATTCTCCTAGGAATGTATCTGAGGTCAGTCTGACTCCCAATAATGCCTCCTCCATGGATACCTTGGTGAACAAACTCACCATGTCCAGGCTCACCATCTGGTTGGATTGGATGAGAGTATCTTTGATTATTTCTATGAGGTGGGTGGAGTTTCAGACATATGAAGGTGACTTTCCTAATGGGTCAATTATATCTATAAGTAAGTGACTCAGAGAGTGGCACACAGAGCCATGGCAGCTAACAATTGGCCTGAGTAGAATACTGTGGGGATTGTATAACTGATAAAATAAAAAATGAAAAACAAAACACAATAAGATAAAAAAAAATTTAAAAAAAGAAGAATCTCCCAGGATGCTCCCTGACAGGAAGAACAAATGGTGGATATGCAAGAAAAGAGGGACGTCCTGGCACCAAAGACAAAAAAGAAGAATTATTCTCTTTTCCCCTGAACTTTCAACGAGTAAACACATGTCTTTTGCTCAGGAAGACATTTCCTTTCAACAGACCATTGTTACTGTAATAAAGTTTCCAAATCCATTTCCAGTGTCTCTGCCTCCTTCTTCCCTTTGTACCTTTTATTTCAGGAACAGCAAGAATTCAACATGGATTTGAAGTCTGAACAGAATCACCCAAAGAATAATACCTTCTTTTAAAACTCCAAAATACTATCTTTGTGAATTTTGGGAAGACCAAATATATGAGGTAGCTTGGTGTAACATTGCACTAACTTCTTGTATGTCTTAGGTGGGAAGTGGTCCTTGTTCTTGATCAGGATTTGTGACATTTTGCATTCTGTTTTCATTGTTGGATCTTTCTTTACTGTAGTTACCATTTCTAATGAGGTCTTCCAGTTTTTCTGTATATTCCAATCACCTGAAGAATGCCAGAGTTTACAATAGCTGAAATGTCATGAATATGGCAACAAAGAAGACAGTCCGAACAATGTAAACAGTGTAAATAATTACAAAACCTCATCTCAGAAATATAGACAGATACTGAAGAAGGCTGAAGGATACAACAGCCGAAATGTCATGAATATGTCAACGAAGATGAGGACAACAGTCCAAACAATGGAAATAGTGTAAAGAATTACAATATCTCATCTCAGAAATATAGAGAGATCCTGAGGAAGGCCGGAGTGTACAACGACTTAAACATCATGAATATGACAATAAAGATGAGGACAACAGTCCGAACAATGGAAATAGTGTAAATAATTACAATACCTCATATCAGAAATATAGAAAGATCCTAAGAAAGGCTGGAGCGTACAACGACCTAAATGTCGTGAATATGTCAACGAAGATGAGGACAATAGTCCGAACAATGTAAATAGTGTAAATAATTACAATATCTCATCTCAGAAATATAAAGAGATCCTAAGAAAGGCCGGAGCGTACAACGACCTAAACGTTGTGAATATGGCAACAAAGATGAGGACAACAGTCCGAACAATGTAAATAGTGTAAATAATTACAATACCTCATCTCAGAAATATAGAGAGATCCTAAGAAAGGCCAGAGCGTACAACAACCTAAACGTCATGAATATGGCAACGAATATGAGGACAACTGTCCGAACAAAGGAAATAGTGTAAATAATTACAATACCTCATCTCAGAAATATAAAGAGATCCTAAGAAAGGCTGTAGCATACAACGACCTAAATGACGTGAATATGGCAACGAAGATGAGGACAACTGTCCGAACAATGGAAATAGTGTAAATAATTACAATACCTTATCTCAAATATAGAGAGATCCTAAGAAAGGCTGGAGCATACAACGACCTAAATGATGTGAATATGGCAACGAAGATGAGGACAACAGCCCGAACACTGGAAATAGATTAAATAATTACAATACCCCATCACAGAAATATAGAGAGATATTGCAAATTCACTGTTTGTGTGATTTCCTTTATAATCTGTGATGTCCTATATCATAGCAGAGTATACATGAGACAGGTTACAGTAAGTTGAATATTGAGAGCAAATTTTTACAGGGGGTGGGGGAATGCTAAAGAGTTAAAGGCAGAAAAAGCGTGAGTTTGTATTATACATTTTTTAGAAATGGGTACCTCGGCATGGTATAATGGTTAGCAAGCTTCTCTTGTTAAAACAGTTACGACTGAATAGTGACTTCAATCCTCATTGGGTACCCCATACATTCGGCCTTGTGCCACATCTAAGCAACACTTAGAAAATCAATAGGGCACCTCGGCGTGGTGTAATGTTTAGCAAGCTTGTCTCGCCAAAACAGTTATGACTGAGTAGTGAGTTTGGTTCTCACTGAGTGCCTCAAAACCTTCGGCCTTGTGCTGCATCAAAACTACATTTAGAAAATTATTAGGGCACCTCGGCGTGGTGTAATGGTTAGAAAGCTTGTCTTGCTAGATCAATTACAACTGAGTAGTGAGTTCGATCCTCACTGGGTGCCTCATACTTTCGGCCTTGTGCCACATCTAAGCCGGGCTTAGAAAATTACTATACATTTTCAGAAATTTTTACTCAGCTTAAAACACCTCTTATTTGAAACAATCAAGATTGCAACTATACTCAATTAACACAATATATAATAAAACAAAGGAAGCATGTATTATTAACAATTGTTTACAAAAGGTATTTGAAATGTCAGCAATATTTGTTTCTCTCTTCATTGTTAATACAGAAACATGGCAGAGTAATGGATAGTGGCTCAGATTAAGTAATCGAAGAGTTGAGTTCAAATTCATCTACATCACTTATGCTATTAAAATCTAAGATATACATTAGTAGCCCCTGTTAGCCTAACTTATTTTAAATGTAGCTCCCAAAAACCACAATTTGCAAAATTCAAGGTTTATTAGTGTTAGACTTTTGAAAGTAGCCCAAACTGTCAACCCTGCCAATGATAGTATTTAATGTTCAATTTCTGGTAAAAGTCAGCCCTCTTCTATTTGAATATTTGAATATTAAGAATCTTCCTTCCTAAACCTTTTGTCATACGATATCAAACTTAACAGATATCAACTACAGTTTCCTTTTCAACTCTTAAGTGCAGTTTTGTAACAATCCTGTTTTTTTTTTCATATCAGTCTTCACTAAAATAAGAGTTACCCCCCTTAGATATGTGTAGTCATTTCATAATTTCAGCAAGACAGATAGAGATTAAAATTAGAGAGAGAGGAGTCTTTTCCGGCAGGTAAATGTCAACTGTCAAGGAATTTAGTGTCATTAACATTCCAAGAATTGTTTGGATAAGTGTATAAGTTAGGTCAGTGTGTATTTCTTTGTTGAGCAAGAAAAAAAAGAACAGGTTTGGATTTGGGTTGGCTGATTTTGTGACTTGTCAACTTGTTGAGTTATTTAATGTCGGAAATCAGTCTATTACTTTCTTTTTTATTATATATTTCTTGTTTGTTTTTTTTAACTAATGTTCACCCAATACAAGGCTTAAGAGCCACTCAAGGTAGAGGGCTACCTTGTGGTGTTGTATTAGCGTAAAAAAGGGCAAGAAGTGAATTTCTTGGGAGGTACAGAGGAAAGATAATGGCTAACTCTAGACTTAAAGAGAGCAAGATTTAATTAATGAATAAGATTTCAGAGTGCAGTCAGAAACATTAGAAGTATAGTGTGGAAGCAGACTTTAGAAGGAACTGGAAATCCAATCCTAAACAGAAAACAAGGATAAACCTCTACTTTTGTTCAAAAGACTCGGTGGGAGTGTGAACATGGACAAATAGGCAAACCTATCTATTCCTGTATTAGTCTTGAAGCAATGTTAGCTTGATTTAAAAATATGTAAAGAGTGGAGATTATACACAAACCCAGACTATATATATATATATATATATATATATATATATATATATATATATATATAGAGAGAGAGAGAGAGAGAGAGAGAGAGAGAAATTAATACAAGCATATATATGTAGAGAGAGAGAGAATTAATACAAGCATATATATGTAGAGAGAGAGAATTAATACAAGCATATATATTTAGAGAGGGAATTAATACAAGCATATATATCTAGAGAGAGAGAGTGAGAGAGAATTAATATAAGTAAAAGTTTGTCACTTAACTGATTGATGTTACCTTCAGAATCTTGTCTCTATATTCAGTTTGTGTGAATATTTATTTGAGTATCAATCTTTATGATATAAGACTTTACAATACATTTATTTGGTTCATTGATTGACTCATTTTCTATGGTTTGTCAATCCCTTGCAGTTTATTTAAAGCCAGAAATATTTTTACATTCTAAGAAGTTTTTGCGGGGAGATAATAATAATTTAGTGATACAAGTCTGTGGAGAGAAGAGGTGGATTCATACCTTTATCAAGGTTATTTGTGCATAAGTGAATATAATGAACCCAACAGGAATTGGAACTGGGCTCTCTGATTAACAATTCCAAGCCATTATCCATTACACCACCTGCACATCCAGGCTTACAGCACCTGGTATTCGCAAACCGTCATCCTTGTAGGTACTGACCAAGCCCAACATTGTTAACTTCAGTGATCGTATGGGAGCCAGTGTTTCAGTGGGATGAGACTGTAAGGCATTTATTGTGTTCAGGTATAGGTAAATATCGGTTGTTTATATTTGAGTCTATAATTTTAAAGAAAATCTATGACAAAGTGGAAAAAGTTTCTGTGTGGCACGTTTCGTTCTTTAGGACTTCATGAAACTAAAGTGATGTTTATGCCGATGTGACTACACATATGCAGGAAGGAGAGGTGACAAAAAATGAATGGAAAGCAACTTTATATATAAAATGAAATTGTGTCTGTGTCAAACAAGATATTGTATAAAACTGACATAATGATAATTATAAGGAAACATTCAACATTCATTTACAGAGCAGCCACTGCTACTCAAATCATGCTTTTCTTCACTCCCTGGTCATCGAACTGGGATCAAAGTGTAGTATCTGTACTCGCCATCTTGAATGGCAATATTAGCTGTTTCTTTATAAGAAATATTCAGCATTCATTGACTAAGCAGCCACTGCTACTCAAATCATGCTTTTCTTCACTCCCTGGTCATCGAACTGGGATCAAAGTGTAGTATCTGTACTCGCCATCTTGAATGGCAATATTAGCTGTTTCTTTATAAGGAAATATTCAGCATTCATTGACTAAGCAGCCACTGCTACTCAAATCATGCTTTTCTTCACTCCCTGGTCATCGAACTGGGAGCAAAGTGTAGTATCTGTTCTCGCCATCTTGAATGGCAATATTAGCTGTTTCTTTATAAGGAAATATTCAGCATTCATTGACTAAGCAGCCACTGCTACTCAAATCATGCTTTTCTTCACCCCTGGTCATCGAACTGGGAGCAAAGTGTAATATCTGGGCCATCTTGAATGGCAATATTAGCTGTTTCTTTAAGTATTCAGCATTCATTGACTAAGCAGCCACTCTGTTCTTTTTCACTCCCTGGTCATCATCTGGGAGCAAAGTGAATGGCCATCTTGAATGGCAATATTAGCTGTTTCTTTATAAGGAAATATTCAGCATTCATTGACTAAGCAGCCACTGCTACTCAAATCATGCTTTTCTTCACTCCCTGGTCATCGAACTGGGAGCAAAGTGTAGTATCTGTTCTCGCCATCTTGAATGGCAATATTAGCTGTTTCTTTATAAGGAAATATTCAGCATTCATTGACTAAGCAGCCACTTCTACTCAAATCATGCTTTTCTTCACTCCCTGGTCATCGAACTGGGAGCAAAGTGTAGTATCTGTTCTCGCCATCTTGAATGGCAATGGCATAAGGAAATATTCAGCATTCATTGACTTGCTACTTTATCCCCTGGTCATCGAACTGGGAGCAAATATTCTGTTCTCGCATCTTGAATGGCAATATTAGACAAATATTCAGCATTTATTGACAAAGCAGCCACTACTATTCATGTTATGCTTTACTGGTCATCAAGCTAGGATCAAAGTGTAGTATCTGTTCTCCTCATCTCTAATGGCAATATCAGTTGTTTCCTCATAAAACATTCAGCATTCATTGACCAAGCAGCCATTACTGTTGCCAAGTGAAATTTATAAAAACTTTCTATTACAACAATTTTTCAGAAAAATAGATTTCTCAAGTCCACTGTTATTGCTCTTAACTCTTCAATTCCCTCCTCTGATTTCTCGATTCCTAGCTACCTTACACTCCTTGGAAAGGACTCTAATATCCACATGCATGGCCTGAGTGTTTATACCTTCGGTTATCTCCTTCTGACTAGGGAACCCTTTTGAATCTCTAGACCATTCATATGCGTATCTGTCTCTCTCTCTGTTTAACTCATTTATCTCTCTTTCCATCCCCTTTCTACTCAAGACCTGTGTGCTAGATCATATTTCTGATAATATAGACAAGGCCATCTTCCTACACTCGTTTGCTGACATATTCATGTTTGGTGACTTTAATACACACCATACCAGGTGGCTTAAAGTCACTGTCAGTGACCTTGTTGGCATCCAAACCCTTAACTTTTCAGTCACCCAATCTCTCACACAACTGGTTGATTCCCAGTGCATTTCCCCAGTAACCCTGACAGAAACGCTTCTATTCTCAATCACTTTTTTACCTCTACCCGTAACTCTTGTCATACTATTTAGTTCTGCTCTCTTGGCAAATATGAACATGCAGTAATCTCTGTAAACAACAACTTTCACTCCACCAGCCAAGAACCTCCTAACAACAGAATATCCTTCTGTTATCAACGAGCAGATAGGGACTTTTTCCATGATTTCCTTTGTGATATGCCATGGAAAGAAGTTGTTAATCATCCTGTTCAAAAATGCACATCTGAGGTCCCCTCCAGGATGAAAGCCAGCATTGATGTTTTCATTCCAGCAAAGAAGTACCAAGTTAAGTTGAGTTCATCTCCTTGGCTTTCACTTGCATGTTCAGCCGCTGTAGTCCACAGGAATCACTTCTGTCTGTACCAGAATAACGCTTCTGATTTCAACAGGCATCTCTTTGTCTCTGCTCGTAACAAGTGCATGTTCTCAATGAAGCAAATTTACCGTTTGCTGATAGCATCTTGCAAGTTCGGTTCCAGAGATTATTGGCGGCTCTGCAAGAGTGTGCTGAACAGCAGCAAATCCTCAATCCCTCCCCTATTCAATCAATTTGAAGTCTTGATGTCTACTGCAGATAAGGTGGAATGCTTTGCTTGGAAATGCTCTTCTCACTCAACACTCGACTCATCTAGAGTACCCACACCTGATTTCCCCCCCTAGAATTGAGGCTATACCAAGTAATATGTACATAACCCTGTCACTGGTCCCGGGCATCATTTCTAAGGCAAGTGAAGGTGACAGGATAACAGCCATCATCCTAAAGAAATGTGCTCCTCAACTGGCCCCAGTTCTCTCCAAACTACCATTATTGCCTCACTACTTCCTGCTTTCCAACTCTACTGTAGTCTCTGTTTTTAAGAACTCTGGAGAACCTGATCCCTCTATCTCCCTATTAGTCTCCTACCATTTTTCAACAAAGTGTCCTAAACTTTAATCTATGCTGAAGTGATTAAGAAACTTACCTCACTGACAAACAATATGGATTCCATTTTGCCAGGTCTACTGCTGATGTGCTTACGGACATCAATGAATATATATATATATCAAGTTCTTGATAATAACAGCAAGGCTTGTGCTGCAGCTGTAGATATCTCAAACACATTTGACAGGGTTTGGCATGCTCCTCTTCTACGTAAGCTTCAATTCTACAGTATTACAGGACAATTGTTTGATTTAATCCCATCATTTCTATGAAATCGTGAAATGAAGGTTGTCCTGAACGGGCTTGCTTCCAGATCCTTTCACATGAATGCAGGTGTTCTCAAAAGCTCTATACTAGGTCCTATGCTGTTTCTGATCTTCATCAATGATCTTCTTGATGTCATCAGTTCCCAAGTAGGCATTTCTGCAGATGATACTGCCATTTACTCCTGTCTCAATAGCAAATCCGACAGAGCTGACAAAGTTAACCTGGCCACTGCTCTTGAAAAGGACCTCCAATCCGTGATTAACTGGGGCAGGAAATGAATTGTAAATTTTAATGCCTCTAAAACGGAACTGCTCCCATTTAACCCCCACAGAGAAACTTCCCTGTTCAGCATCAGCATCTTCTTGGTCTCATGTTTTCAATTGACTTAAAGTGGAGCAACTACATTGAATCAATAGCTGCATCTACTGCAAAGAAAGTTGGTTCATCGTGTCATGCCAGAAGGTTTTTCTCATCAGAGTGCATTTTGCACATTTACAAATCTACCATTCGTCTGTGCATTGGATACTTTTGCCATATTTGGTCTGGTGACCCTGTTGTTCATCTTGAGGTTCTTGACAAAATCCAAAGAAGGATCTGCAATGTAATTGATCCTAATTTGGCATCTCGACTCCAGTCACTTTCTCACAGACATTATGTGGCTTCCATCTACAAATATTTTGATGGAAACTGCTCTGATGAACCTTTTTTCCCCCTGGTACCTTAACTACATGAATTTAAGCATGCTACTAGATTGGCATCTAGGTCCCACCCTTTTACTGTTGAAATAGTAAAATGTTATGCATTGAATGCCAGAAATAAAACAGTCTGTAATTAAAGCAAGCATTACTGATTGAATAGGGTTATTATAGGTATGAGGCAAATCTTTGATGTTGCTATGGAGAGCTATGACAGAGTAGGAGTTTGTGAGATGGTATTTATATAATTAATAAGCTAACAAACTACAATAACTGAAAAAAAAAGATATAGGATTATATAGAGATAATGGAATGTTAATACCATGAAGCTGTACAAGCCAAAATCTAGAAAAGACATAATGAAAATTTGGGCCATGAAGATTGCACCCAAGCATGAAACAGACTGTCGATGATCAGTGTTAATCTCAATATCCACTTTTATAATGTATATATTGCTGAAACCCTCTGATGAATGGACAGACAGGTCAGTTTATGAAACTCTGAAGTCAGAATACTGAAGATAGCATCAATCAGCTCAGTGACAAACCTTTTTACTTGTATTAATTATATATAATTAATATAAGCATATATATATATATATATATATATATATATATATATATATATATATATATATATATATATAGAGAGAGAGAGAGAGAGAGAGAGAATTAATATGAGTAAAAGGTTTGTCACTTAGCTGATTGATATTACCTTCAGAATCCCATCTCCAGATTTTCATAAACGGATCCTCTGAGAATTACTCCATCCAAGGAGTATCAGCAATTGATTGCTTATACTTCTAGATTTTTCTTTTTTATATGCACTTGTCATTAGTGCAAGTTTTTGGGGGTTTCTTTTCAGAGTGTATATGTGCATGTAGAATATTGTGATTATTTGTCCTTTTCATAGGGTTTTTTTTTCCCTTTACACTCACTCCCTAATCAATTCTCTCTTTTTCCTCTTTTCTTTCAATTGTTGCCATTTAACTTCTGGTTTCCTAGACATATGCTGTTACTGTTAATTTCTGAGCATTTTATATATATATATATATATATATATATATATATATATATATATATATATGTCATTCACATACAGGCCTGTTTTGCTGTATCTCTGCTCCTCAGTGCAGTTAGACATCCGATTGTTTCATGCCGGGATCAAAATCCGACCAATTTGGTATCAGTTGGAGTTTCTAACCCTGAGCTATCAGCACATGGCAGAAGGAAAGAGAAATTCTAGTGTATTATTTTTTTTATGGATGTAAACAAATGCCAAACAGCCATAGTGCTCCATTCATTTTAAATGAATTTAATATAGGATGGGAAAAGACATAGGATAACAAGACCTTATAGAAAGCTTATCAAATACAAACTTATCCAAAATCAAAGCATATAACTTAGAAAGTTTAACTAGAAACTGTCAGACAGCCATAGTGCTCCATTCATTTTAAATGAATTTAATATAGGATGGGAAAAGACATAGGATAACAAGACCTTATAGAAAGCTTATCAAATACAAACTTATCCAAAATCAAAGCATATAACTTAGAAAGTTTAACTAGAAAACTGTCAGACAGCCATAGTGCTCCATTCATTTTAAATGAATTTAATATAGGATGGGAAAAGACATAGGATAACAAGACCTTATAGAAAGCTTATCAAATACAAACTTATCCAAAATCAAAGCATATAACTTAGAAAGTTTAACTAGAAACTGTCAGACAGCCATAGTGCTCCATTCATTTTAAATGAATTTAATATAGGATGGGAAAAGACATAGGATAACAAGACCTTATAGAAAGCTTATCAAATACAAACTTATCCAAAATCAAAGCATATAACTTAGAAAGTTTAACTAGAAATTTTATGGTCCTTCTTTGAAGAATTTGTATTTTCTTAATCTGTAATACTTAATGGATTTCAATGAATACAGAAACAGATAAGAATCCAGTCTATTATTATATCTCTATGCCAAAATTTATCCCATATACAAATTTAAAGACTAGCATTTCTTTTATCCTAATTTCAGTTGATTTTTAATACAGCTACTCAAATAATCTCTCTATAGGTATAAATAATAGAATGGGTTGAAGAAAAAAAAACACTGAGTTTTAAACCTATTTCCCTTTTTTGCCCTATTTCCAAACCCTGATATTTTTTAAAGTTTAATTTCTGCTCAAAATAAAACATTAAAAGCAACTGTTACGTGACAACACATCTACAGCATTTTAAAATCAGAACAAAAAATAAGACTTTTTAGAAAGTATACGTAATTCAAATTCATCGTAGACAAACATGTGTTTTCAAATCACACACTGAAGTTTTTATTTAATAAAATGTTTATAGAATAAAAAGTTATAAAAAATAAAAGATTTTATAAAATGTAAGTTTTTATTAAAAAAAAAACCACAAAGAAAAGGTTTTTAGAAAGTATAGCTAATTCAAATTTATGGTCATGGCAGAGTCAAATGTTTTTTCAGTTTTCAAATTGCACAATCAGGTTTTTATAAAAGTGTTCTAGAAACTGTCAAATTTCAATAAATCCATTGCAAATATGCAATCAGAAAAAAAGCAACCAAATCAATTTAATTGAACATTTGAGGATGGATCAGTAAGTCCATAATCTGACTCAATTGAATTCTGTTTTGAAATTTTGACTGCATGAAATTCATCACTAATGGAGAAGTACTCCAGTTTCTTTCTTTGTCAATATGCTTATGTTGAAAAATAAATATTTGTTTGAAATGAATGCTTTTTTGCTCCCTAAACTTTATCACTGTATGTGACTTCATTTGCTGTACAAAATGTTTATCTTGCCACTGAAGGTGACTCTAATCCCTAAACAATAGTGTGTTTGAATTTCATAGTTGTGTCATCATATCCTACTATGGCAACTGAAAACAACTTTGAGTGAAATTAACAATAAGATTACTGGAATTGAGGGGCCTTGAAAAAGAATGCAGTGGAAAGAGAAGTAATATTAAGAACGCAGAGTGCTAAAGGTTAATTAGGCTCTAAACTTATCAATGGGTCTACATATGCAAAGTCTTGCAACCAGATCGCAATTTTGAATTTTTAACTTCAAAATGGAGACAAAAGGCCTCAAAATTTATCTCTTTGCATTCTGTATACACGCTTAGGCGATCATGTATCTTTCGATACATGACTGACGAGGTAGATTTTTTCCTGCAGTAGGTTGCCATTTCTTTCTGCGGTAGACCAGTTGCCATCCAAGGCTATAGAACCCGGTCTGTCCTGCTATTTACCCATAGCTGGGGAGAGAAGAAGAGGATTCATACCTTTCTCAAGGGTCAGTCATTCAGTTATATGCCATGCGTGATACACGCTTAGGCGATCATGTATCTTTCAATACATGACTAACAAGGCAGATTTTTTCCTGCAGTAGTTTGCCATTTCTTTCTGCGGTAGACCAGTTGCCATCTAAGGCTACAGAACCCGGTCTGTCCTGCTATTTATCCATAGCTGAGGGGGAGAAGAAGAGATTCATACTTTTCCCAAGGGTATTAGCACGTAATTAGAGTGTAATGGATTTGAATGGAATTCGAACTCGGTTCTCAGATTCCTCAATCCGAGCCACTATCCATTACACCACCATGCCTCCAGAGATATGTAGTTTAATTCTCATTACTGCTCAGTACTGCTCGGTTAATACTAACCCCATTTTTACCGAGTCCAAGTACACACTGTCCCGTCCAGAGATTGAACACGCAATTACTATATTACCAAATTCATGAAGTAATGTTCTAATCCACTGAGGGAGAATTCTGTGTGGAGAAAATGAAAATAGAATCTTAAACCTAAACTGCTTGCTGATGGGTACTGCTACTACTTGACTGCACTGACTGAAGTTTTCTTTTTGTTACAGCTGCTGATGTTGTTGCTTCAGTAAGCACATTTATTCACTGGGTTATGTTTATCCAGCTAATGATTTTTAGAGTATAAAATCTTTTATCTTTCCTCTCGTAATTAGTTCACTGATATTTATGCTTGGCCTACCAATTAGGGAACTTGAAAAACATTCAGACAAATAACTGAGTAAAGTCAGTTGTACGATAGAAAAAAAAAAATAAACATGGTTACCAAATACACAAAAATATTACCCACCAAGAAAATAGCTGCACTGAAAAAGACTGTACTTACTTTGATTTTAGAAGTATATAAAAAAGGATACATCCAATTCAGACTGAAAAGAAAAAGAAAATTACTTTGAAGTCATTTATTAAGGTTAAGAATTAAAAAAGATTGTTTTGTGACATTAAGTTTACAAATATTAATTATATTTGGTTTCTTTTGTGTGACAGAAAATCGACAAACAGACCAAAATCTCTCATATACTAAGATAAAAATGGAAGATATGCGCTCACTTACCACTTTGCTAAAATAGACATTCAGGGTTTCCAACAAATTGTGCATCAGTTCTAAGACAGCCAACTCATTCTAGTAGAAAAGAGATGAGAAGAAACAAATAATTGATAGAATTAAATTTCCTAACAATGTACATGTGTAAATATATACAGCTGGTGGTCTTCAATTCAAATACATACATGACTTATGAAGTTGCAAATGAACTCAAGGCCTTTAGATCTTTGATCTGAGATCCTAAATTATCAGCTATTAAATGTATGATTTGCAATGGTAAATGAACACAACACCTTTAGACCTTTGATTTGATCCGCCATTAACTTACAAATCTGTATAAGTTGGGATGATATTTTATCTTCATTTCAAAACCTCAAATTCTACACATAAAACTTAATATAAAAAAATGTTTGTCCTTGATATAATGGAATATGCGTACACCTGTGTTCCCCCTCACTGGAATATGATTGGCTGGTGTCCGTCATAAATATCGACGGACATGTAGGTACGACAGAGTCAAAGAGCCTTAGTCTGAAAGCAAAATCTATAACGACACCCATTGGACTACGCCATTGATCTACACTTCTTACCTGCGACTATGACATGTACCAGTCGATTACTGCCACCGTATTCTACTTGGTTATAGTAGCCAAAACCACTTAGCTACTTCGTTCAAATATATCCCTTTCTGGGACATAGTCCTTTTTTGAGATTTTATAATAAACATGTAATCAACATGTTATAATAATGGCCACATCGACAGACTGAAGACAACCAGAAACTCAAACTTCAAGAAACTACTGAGCACAGAACTTTTGTGCAGGAAGTGGAGTAAAGATTTCTCCTCTTATTTCACATGGGAGACACAGTGGAGTAATGGATAGAGGCTCGGATTGAGGAATCGGAGAGCCGAGTTCAAATTCCAGTCGAATCCATTACATTCGCTTACATGCTAATACCCTTGGGAAAGGTATGATTCCTCTTCTTCTACCCCCCCAGCTATGGGTAAATAACAGGACAGACTAGGTTCTATAGCCTTCCTTGGATAGCAACTGGTTTACCGCAGAAAGAAATGGCAATCTACTGTAGGAAAAAATCTGCCTTGTCAGTCCCGTATCGAAATATACATGATCGCCTAAGCGTGTATCATGCATGGCACATAACTGACTGACTGAACTTGCTCAATCCTGGAGATTCCAACCCTGCAGCAGCAGCACCTCCCTCATTGCAGTATGAGAGAAAGGGTCAGTACAATATTGATGACAGTGGTCACTGGGACTGGGGAAAATAATTTTTGTCTTTGGCCCATATGTATATATACATATGTGTATTGTGCTCACCATGTTAAAATGACCTTGTGTCACATCCTGACTTAGTGAGGTGGGGAGGCCAGGTAAATATATCAAGCACTATCAATATTGGTTTACCTAAGGTTACTCAGCTTAGCAAATCCCAAGAGCTGATGATTGGAAATAAAGGAGGACCCACATCTGTACTCACACAAAGGTATCCCATTACAGAAAACACCTATCACATTGGTTGATTACCAGGTGGACATTCAAGGAAGCATTACCATTGTTAAATACCCTCCACCTACTTAAAAAAATGCAATCAAAGCTAGGGAGGAGGATAATCCAAAGTTTTCTTTTTTTTATCAGAGTTTGTAAAAAGATGGCCCAGTGGATAAAAGCATTAGTTGAGTAATCCAAAAAGTGAATTGACTCAAAGATTTGTGAGTTCAATATCTGGCCACACCAGACGAAACAAAAACTTGGAAAATCAGGGAATTAAATGATACTGAGATATCCCAAAAAGGCATGGCATGTGGAATTAGAACAATCTACCACCTGTGGACTAAATAAAGGGTTTGGTTCAAACTTCCAATATGTATCACCTGAAGAAGGTCAGAGAATACAACAGCTGAAGCATCATGAATATGACAATAAAAATGAGGACAACAACTCAAACAATATAAATAGTTACAATAACTTATCTCGGAAATATAGACATAAAAAAATATACAATATATTTACAGGATGTTAAGCACTGTTCACTATCATACTTGTATTTCAGTCTGTCTTATTGAGCTCTCAGATGAGACAGGAAATATATAAATAGATACACATTGATAATTATTATATGGTTTGATAGTAAATATTAAATATAAAATAAAATTAAATATTGTTATACTCTGCTACAAATTAGATCTCTTTCACTCTATATCAAAACCTGTTGGAGAGATGTGAACGCTAAGAAAGCAAAAATAAAAATAAAAAAGTCGCTTTCCATGCAAGGGCTCCAAACATCACATCTGGCTCACAAAACAAATCCCACTCCTGACACCAGTTGTGATAAAAGTGCATATGGTTGAACAATAAGGTACCACCCATGAGGTGGAAAGAAAAGAAGACAAGAACTGTCAAGATAAAATTCTTTGTATTGCCAATATACAGGATCAAGGTGGAATATCTCTTTGTGAGCAAGGGAAGCAACCTGGAGGATGAGGAGAGTTAATAGGTCCTGGAGTTGAATCATGAATCAGGTTGGTTGACCAAAGCCAGTCATAGCGAACAGGCAAGTTGTCAATGTCACGACCAGTGGCCTCGGTTAACCAACCTGACTTGTGCATCGACTCTATGCCCTAAAGTCTTCTTTTCTTTCTACCTCATGGAGGGTACCTTGTTATTTCATTTGTTCTCTCATGCAATGATACGTACATTTATAACAATATTAATATGAAATATAGTTATAAAATAAAATTAAATATTAATATAAAAATTAATTTTTATTACTGCAAACATTATTGTAGTTCATACTTCATATTTGAAATAGATGCCAAATTTTTATTTATTAAACAGCATGTATTATGTCTTTTGGCCTGCATATATGAGAAATCTTCATGTAATTACACAATGTATATCCTGATATCCATTTCTGGAAAGTTTGAGTTCCCTTATCATCAGATTTTAAATATGTGTAATTTTTAAAGAATGAATTTATTTTTAATCCAACATTTTTATTATTTCAAATCTTATAGTGGATACATTGTATCTGAAATAGATGCAAAATTTTTATTTATTAAACCATGTGTATTACATCTATTGGCATTCGAGAAATCTGAGTAAACAAAATGCAATCACTGACAGGGATTGAACGGGTATCCTCTTCTGTAGGGGAAACCACCATTTGATCTGGTATGCTTTATCATTCAGCCATGAAGAACATCGCAAGAAGCAATGTTCTATTTCCCCTTTTTAAGGAAAGCCTGTCCTCTTCACACAGATTATTTTTTTCAAAAGCTTCATATCTGCTCAGTTTTGTATCCGAAACGTAAACAAAGCAATTTCTAAAGAATTAAGGGATTTATTTTTAATCCAGCATTTTTGTTACTTCAAACATTATTAAAGTTAATTAATTTTTATTTATTAAACAGTGTGTATCACATCTATCACATGTAGAGAAAAATAACCAATGTTATATATATTTGATTAATTTTCAGGATTTTGAGTAGACATGCAAACTCTGAGCTTTATATTATAGATTACACAGAAAGCAAGATTAATCAGGATTGTCAGAAAAAAAATATTCAAAATAACAAATGCTTAGTGTTATGGCAATTTACCCATGCATGCATAGACCTTCCCAGCTATAAATAGGAGCAGGTATTGCCTTTTGGGAGAGGGATGTTTCCAGCAGTCAGCTCTGACAGTCGAACCGAACATTCTTGCTGTAACACTCATTTGTATATGTTTGTATTACTGTTTCTGTTAATATATTTGTTTAACTCGTGTCTTTATTTCTGGCCCTAACAAGGGTATAACACTTAGCTTACCATAAATATCTATCATCATCGAATAATTATTTACTATTTACATCATCAATTACTGTCTTTCCAGGTCAATTTATTCTCTTTCAAGTAAGCTTATATAATTGGAACTTCTTCAGATGTCAGCTAAATTCACAGGATTTGTATAGTATTACATATACATATATATTTCTAAAGAAACAATGGATTTATTTTTTTTTTATATAGGAATGAAGTGTTGCAGCTGACACTGGAGTTTGAACACAGATCATCAGTGAGCAAACACAGGTGATTCCATTTCTAGTAAGTAGGCCACATGATGTAAATGAAATGTATATATGGGAATTAGCATGGCATCTAATTGATCACTCTTTCTACTCTATCCTCTATTACTATACAGATTGTTATTCTCTATTCTATTCACTATACTATTTCTCTATACAGATCACTATTCAGTGATTACTTTTCAAACGAGTATTATTGAGCAAGTACTATTTGTGCAAGTATTATTTGAAGGTGTCTGACACTAATAGTGTTCAACGATGTTACTATAGTTGTATCTGCGATTACAAAGTCTCTACTACAATGAGCATTACGAAAGTGACAACAAGTATTCGTTGACATTACAAAAGTGGCAATGAGTGTTTGTTGACATCACAAAATTTTTAATCTGACATCTTTATTATTTTAAAGATGATTATAGTGGATACTTCATATTTGAAATAGATATCTCATTTATATTTATTAAACAATATCTATTACATCTATTGGCTTGTGTATTCAAGAAATCTTATTAAAGAAAATGCATTCACTGACAGGGATTGAACCAGTATCCTCTTTTGTAGAGGGAAACCATCATTTGATCCAGTATGCTTTATCACTCAGCCATGAGGAATGACGCAGCAAGCAATGTGCTATTTCCCCTTTTTAAGGAATGCCCGTCTTCTTCACCCAGATTATTTTCTCAAAAGCTTCATATCTGCTCAGTTTTGTATCCGAAACATAAAAATAAAGCAATTTCTAAAGAATTAAAGGATTTATTTTTAATCCAACATTTTTGTTACTTCAGACATTATTACTTTGTATTTGAAATAGATGCACAATTTTTATTTATTAAACTGTGTATTAAACTCTTCCCTTGTCTTATGAACAAAAGCAGAGCTTTAAACCTTGTTTCTCGTTTAGGATTTGGTTCCTTCTAAATTCTACTCAAACTTTATACTTCTAACATCTCTGTCTGAACTCTGAAATTTTATTTGTTAATTATTTTTTTTTTCTTTCAATAGAATTAAATAGGCTCACCTATCATTCGGTTCACACTCCTTCACAGTTTTTTGAACAAAAGTTTAAATTTATCTTTTGTTCCCTGCTTAAGATCAAGTTTCTGGTGACTTTTCCATTTCCTTTCACTCCCAGTAACACCTTGTGTGTTAGCGGCATTTTTGCCTTGCTTGGGGTGAATTGATTAAAAAAAAAAAAAAATATGGACCAGTCTATTCAAGTATTGCTAAACTGCCAACAGTTAAAAAGGTTTTTTAGGGTGGGGAGAGAAAAGAATGCCATAATACAAACCTCATCATTTGTAATTCCTGAGACAAAGTAGAGATTGACATATTTGCGATAGACAATGGTGAAATCACGGTATTCCCAAAATGTGCACTGAAAAATCAAACAAAAGTCTTTATCACACACACACACATATAAGTTTATTCAAGACAAAAATAAAACAAATTATGCATATTAAATATTTTAATAAGTTTTTCTTGGTGCTTGGTTAGTTTCCATAACTTTGCGCTGAAGGTCAAATAGGAACTGTCCCCTATTCACGTTATTTCCTGTTTAGGTTCTGAACATGAACTGTAAACTGTTCTTATTCATGTTCATTGCCAACATTCAGAAACTAAACACATCTCTTGTTTTAATATTTTCATTTTATCTTATACAGGGTGTGATGGGTAAATTGTCAATATTTTATATTTTGCGCATGCTCATTGTTTTTTGTCGACTGCACAGTACGGTAGGGTCAGTTGGGCATCATCTGTTAGAAAAAGAGCACAATGATACAATTCATTCCACCAGAAATTTGAAAACAGCATGCTGTACAGCTTGGCATTTGCCCTGGAAGATCCAATACGAACATTTCAGTGTGTTTGGGTGTCAATCTGGGGACAGTGCAGAGGATTTAGGAAAAAATGGATGAGTCTAATGTGATTACAAAGGTGTTTGGAGTGATCACTAGTGATGATGATGTTACGCCTCCATTCATCTTCCAACAAGGCCTCAGACTCAACATGGAGGCCTACATCAAATACCTTGAGGAGATAGTGCTGCTCTGGGTCAAGAAGGTGGCTGCTGGAAGATAATGTCTGGCAATAGGACTCTGCACCATCCCACACAAATAGGAGAACCCAGTCATGGCTGTCAGACAACTTCTGCAACCACATCACCCCTTATATCTGGCCACTTAACTCCCCAGACTGCAACCCTCTTGATTATTATGTGTGGGGCACCGTTGAGCAAGAGACCACCAAAAGTCCTTGTAAGACCAAAGATGAACTGAAGGCAAGGATTATGGCAGCATTCACCAATTTAAATAAGAACATCCAGAAGAGTTGCAGGAGATTCCAAAGTCATTTGTGGTTTGTAGTTGAAGCCAATGGCAATTTTATTGAAGAAATTTACTCTTTAGAATTTCAAGATATTTTTGTTTAATTTTGGTAAATATAACTGTTAAAATGAGATGTTATTTTCATTTTTGTGTAATTTAGACAACAATTTATCCATCGTACCCTATATATTTTATCTGTAGTTGAAGGCATGTAATTGCGTTCAAAATATATTTAGTTGAAGCCATAAATTTGTGTTCAAAATATTTAGATTTTGGCATTATATTGACCCATAGAGGTGTCGATATGCTGCTAACCAAATTCAACCAATCAAACAACCAACATGTAAGAACTCTTTCATGGCATTAATCCATATAATATCCTACAATTTCTTAAATCAAACTGTATTCCAAAATATAATTTCAACAAAATTACAACATAAAACACACATATCATTATAAAACATATAAAACACAAAACACACATATCTAGTTATTATGTCCATACAGGCATGTATATGCACAAAAGCTGAGTATCATCTACCATGTATTCAATTGTGAAAGCAGAATAACATATATTTTTATTACTTCAAAGCTCCCAAGAAAATTAAATTTTGACATTAAATGGCCCACAAGGAGTTGATATGCCATTAAACAAAACAAATATCCAAACCCATACTGTCAAAAAAAAGAGGGGGAGGCAATATATAAATATAATGTATCATCCCCTACTTACTAAGGAGATATTCTGTTGTTATCATCACATGAGGCTTGTTCATTTATTAGCACAACATTACCATAACAACGGATTATCTCATTACTAAGAAAAGAAAATCAGGCTGTGTGACACATATATATGTAAATTCACATTGGAATAACAGAACAGGCACTTTTATGTTGTATAATCTTGTCTCAAAGATTTTTAATAGTTTGATCCATGCCAGATGCATCCTGCTCGTGGCCATCTGCCAAAATTAAGCTAACCTCAGCTTAGTAAATAACTGTCATCCAACCTTCATTTATTTTTGGTTGAATATTCTGGCTCATTTTCAAGATGCTGTTTTGACCGACATTTATAGACTTCAGATTTTTGTGCTGTACCCAAAACCTCAAAATTTGCAGCAGGGAAGTGGAAAGATTCCAGAATGTTACCATCATCTTTGTCATCATAGTCATAGTTTCACAGTGACAATCTTTCAGTAGACAAGTGTATCATCAATTTTCTGGTAACTAGTGGTTCAGCACCTCTTTTAATTCAGACTAAATTATAAGCAAGCATTTGAATTTGTGGCATTGTGTGTGTTTAATGCAAGTTATTATCAGTTGATAATGCTGTAGATATACGAGAGATGCATAATTTATGGGTCGGAAGTGTATTATTGAATTGTTATGACATTACCTTTGTTGGTCTGGTAAGATGGATAATCCAACAGATTTCTAGAGTCAAGGGTGCCAAAAAAAACTCTATGGGTTGCCTGTATTTTAATAAAAATAAATTGATGTGATGGAATAACCTGGCACCCCCATGAGTTGTGGCACTATAGGTGGTAACCACCTATAAGTATCCGTTAAGACAGCAAACAAGAGAGTCGAAATGGGATCTATTGAGTATGACTCAGACTTACACAAGAACTACCGGCCTTCCAATAGTAGCACTCACAACTGAATCGATTTGTGACGATCGTGCACATATCTATTACCTTATTTCTTTGGTTATTACAATAAACCTTTACTTATTTATCCACCATGTTTGTCAAGTATATATTCCTATTAGCATGGAATACAACACAACTGTAACAAATCTGGGCTGTGATGTGATGTGATGGAATAACCTGCCACCCCCATGAGTGGTGGCAATATAGGTGGTCACCACCTATAAGTATCCGTGAGGACAGCAGACGGGAGAGTCAAGTTGGGATCTGCAAGACTAGTGGCCTTCTGATAGCAGCATGCACACAACTGTACAGACTTGCGATGACTGTGCACATAGCTATTACTTCCTTGCTTGTTGTACTGGTTTCTACAGTAAACCTGTTACTATTTATCCATCATGTTTGTCCATTCAGTATTCCTATTAGCATGGAATATAACATAAATGTATAAGTATAATAAAACAATTCATATTTAATGGAGTAATGAATTGCAGCTCAGATTGAGGAACCACAGAGAAGAGTTTGAATTTCAATCAAGTACATTACATTCGTTAATACACTTGGGAAAGGTCTGAATTCATCTTTTCTTCCCCAACCAGCTATGAGTAAATAGCAAGACAGCCTGGGTTCTATAGCACTGGGTGGCAACCAGTCTAGGAGAAGGAAATCTCTGAACTGTATGTATCCCTGGTGAAGCACAGACTATGCAGCTAAAGAAAGGATCATTCACATTGACTAGATGATCCTGACTACAGTTGATTATTTAATAATATTTCATGCTGGCTCCTGTTAAAGCAGTGACAATTTGTAACATACAAGTGCACCATCAATTTTCTGGTAACTAATGGTTCAGTATGTCTTTTAATCCAGACTAAATTACAAGCAAGCATTTGAATTTAATGCAGTTGTCAGATTAATTCATCGGGCATCTACAGGTTGTGTGTGTGTGTGTTTGTTTAATATAAAATACTAACCTCCAGGAGAGTAATTCATTGCAACTTCTCAGACTAAGGTTTTCAGCTGACATGACTTAGAAAGAATATATTGAATCAATTGCTAAGTCTGCAGCTAAGAATGTTGGTTCAGCATATCATGCCAGACAATTTTTCTTGCTAGAATCTATATTACATATTTATAAGTCTACCATCCATCCTTGTTTTGAATATTGCTGCCACATCTGGTCTGGTGCTCCTATTTAGAGATTCTTGATAAAATCCAAAGAAAATTCTGCAATGTTATTGGGGCTGACCTGGCATCTTGATTCAGTCCATTTCCCACTACTGTAACGTAGCTTCCCTGTACCTTTTTTATAAATACTTTCATGGTAATTGTTCTGATGAACTTTCTGCTATAGTACCTAGTGTTTATGAATTTAAGCTTAGTACTAGATTGGTGGCAAGATCTCATAATTGAGAGTTGAAATGGCTAGATGTAACCGTAAGTTCTATGCTAACAGTTTCTTCTACTGCACTTCTCACTTGTGGAACTCTCTTCTGGCTTCTTGTTTCCAAGTCAACTTTGATCTTCAAGAATTTAAATGCAGTGTCAATTGTTATCTTTTGTTTTCTTAATTCTTGTTCTTTTATTGTCCTCTCTCCTTAATAGTAGTTTTTTTTCATATTCTCTAATACTCAGTAACCCCTTGAATTCTAGTGGTTTTATTGCCTTGCTTGGAGTGAAATGATTAAAAAAAAATGTTGATAATGTTGTAGAGTACAAGAGATGCATAATTCAAAGTGTATTATTGAATCATTAAGACATGACCTTCAATCCAGTACAGTTCTGGAAGCAAAGGTACCAGAAAAAAATGGTGGTGTACCTGTAAGTTAAAAGTAAATGTATAAGTACAATAAAAACTCTACTTATTAATATTTCATGACAGCTCTTGTAAAGGTTGACAATGGTTGTGGCCACTTTGTACATTCATTACTGCCTGCAAGGAGAGCAATTTAGGAACATGTTGTAATGTACAGCAAGAGCATGTTGAGGGTGGAGGAAACACTTAACTGATTGCTCTCCTCGCAACTACAGGAGTAATAGACAGAAATGAAAAAGAGATGGTTGGTAACAAAAATAACACTGCCTTGGAAACCACAGCAACTTTAAGAACAAAATGTCCACAGACAAGACACCATGTCTTGCCAACTGCTGATTTTCCCATTGCTTTTATTGGCATGAGGCTTCTTTCAAAGATCCGGGTCTTGATCAGTTGTAGAGAGGCTTATATTTAGACATGCCAAGCTGTCCTACAGCTAACAGGGAAAACCTAAGATGTAACTGGTGTTGACAAACATGTTCACATGCAATCAAGGGGCTCTTTTGCTTTTGTACTGATGCATGTTTGCCACAGAACATTAATATAAGTAGCAGTTATAAGACTAGATATGCAGGTAGTGTAATGCTTCTCAAAAAGAGAAATCAATGAGCTGAGTTCAAATGCTGGGCTGAGTTTGTTACATTCACTTTCGCACAAATCCTCTTGGGAATGGTGTTGAAGTAATAGACAAAGTTTAAGAAATAAAATAAAATAAAAATATTTCATAAATCTTCTGAAAAGTATCATCTACTTATCATCTTAACACCTCATTAGTATTAACACCGGCATTCTTGAGGACAGGTTGTTTCTGAAATTCAGATAAGCAAAACAAAACTTCAAAGATCCTGTACCAAAGCGAAGAACAATCCTACCCATATTCACTAACCACTTACTGACCTCAATATAAACCCTGGAAAAGAGAATTTGAGATCAGTTCTCTCTCACCTTTCACTAGAAAGCAGGATATACTGACCTACTACAGTCTAACCACCAAAGAACTAATACGGATGACTGCCTGCTACAAAGGAGGAGGAGACTCTCTCTTTTCCGATGTGCTGTGAGCTACAAACTCTGTCACATAAGGATACAAGTTTGAATTTGTTTACAAAAAAAAAATATATCTTCCAAAACAATGTTCACTCAGTGTTCATTCATTTTGAATATAAAAACCAACTTTCTGTGCCAACCTCCACAGTATGAATCCATTTCTTTTTCTCCAATTTATGGATTAAATATTTGGGCAGACTGGGTTCTATTGCCACCATTCTAGAAGGAAAATTGAATTCAAAACCAGCCTGAAGAGAACTGGACTTTGTCAGGCTCTGCAATGAATGCAGTACATGTGGAGAACTGTACCAAATAAAAGAAACTACATCACTTGAGGAATTTTAAACAGCAGCAGCAATTAAATTGATTATAAATACAAGTATTACTAACAGATTAAGACATAATCCAATATTTGAACAGTCAGTGTGCCATGTGTGATACACGCTTAGGCAATCGTGTATCTTTTGATACATGACTGACAAGGTAGATTTTTATCCCAAAGTAGGTTGCTGTTTCTTTCTGCGGTAGACCAGTTGCCATTCAAGGCTATAGAACTCGGTCTGTCCTGATATTTACCCACAGCTAGTAGGAGAAGAAGAGGATTCATACCTTTCCCAAGAGTATTAGCACATAAGTGAATGCAATGGGTTTGACTGGAATTCAAATATTTGAATACTGATCTCAAATTCAAAACAAAAATATAGGTAATTTCTATCTGAATTTCTGAAATCAGGAGTTATCATTATTTACATTATTTTCATTCAGACTAATATCCTCATCTTTGTTGTTACCAATTATTATATAAGAAGTTATACAAATTCTATCTGAATTCTTAGAATGAAGAGTTATCATTATTTATATTATTTACAGTTAAACTAATATCCTCACTTTTATTGTTATAATCACAACCTTTCACCATTTATGACCTCTGGCCTTCTACAGCTGTCTGTAGATGCAGGGACCCTTCAAGGAATTTCGAACTGAACCTAAAGGGAGAAAATTATTTTTGTTCCTCTTTCCATATCTAGGGTTATCATGTTTTTCAGGGTTTTTTTTGGGTTTTTTTTAGTACTGTTCAGTTATTGCTCACCTTGTTCCTGTTGAATCCAAGTCTGTACTACCCAGGCTTGACATTGAACATACAATTATTATACAATCAAATTCCAAGCCTTTGTGATAGTAACAACAAAGATTGGGACATTATTCCAACTGTAAATAATGTAAGTAAAAATATAGGTAATTATTAAAATCTTACAAATATTGAGAAAATGGCAACTCCTAAGCCATTCAAATTACTTGTAAACAGAAAATAATGTTTATATATTAAGCAAGCAAAATTTTTAAAAAACGCAAATGATAAAAATAAAAAATGAATGAGAGGAAGCTCCTGCTTCCTCTTTCTTTGTGCAATTCCATTATGGAAAAAAGGGTCACAGTTTCAATATGCTAGATCTTTCTACTGTGGTTTTAAATTTGGCACAACTCAGCATTCAAAGAGCTTTCTAAAGATATACAACTTGACCATATTGGGAAATATGAAAATGTTGGCGTATCGTGGCAAACACCGAAATCTGCCATTTTGAATTTGGCACAACTCAGTAAAACTCTTCTAATTCAGGCCACAGTCAAACAGTACACCACAAGGCAGACAAAATTTTTGTCAAAGTTAAAAAAAAATTAAAGACATGCTTTTTGAGAAATTAAAAAAAAAAAAAAAAATCAATGATTAATTATCTTATTTGACCTTTAAACAAAAACATAAATATATGACCTTTTAGATATATCCAAGTCATTTAAAATGGTACATAATTTATTTTTGTAGGTGAAAAAACAATGGAGATATTGATATTTAAATTTTGTGACAATTTTCCAAAATTCACCTTTTTGGCAAAGGTTAAAGTGTCATATCTTGGGAACCCTTTGACCTAGAGATGCAAAATAGGTACCATTCAATTTGTATCATGAAGCTCTATAAGTGTACCAAATATGAAAAAAATCTGTTTTGGTGATGGTCAGACCCTTGTTGATTTGACACAGAATGACTCTTGTAGCAATTATTTTGTTTTAGTTTTTGTTTTTTTACAGGGCAAAGTTACCAGCTCCATACCCAACCAGTTTTGAATTTAGAGTTGGCCTTCTCCTAGACTGGTTGTCAACCAAGGCTAGAGATTCCAGTCTGATCTGCTATTTAATCTACAGCCGGCGAGAGAGAGAGAGAAGAGCTGAATTCATGCTTTTCCCCAAGGGTATTTGCATGAAAGTGAGTGCAACAAACTCAGCTGGCATTTGAACTCAACACACCAATTTCACTTTCCCTATGCTACACATATGTCCTACTTCAAACAAAAATAAAGTTTATGAAACACAGCTTACCTGTTTCCCACTGCTTGACAAACATCTTCGGATGATATCTCTTTCAATAGCGGATTTGTCTTCGTGATTATAATGCTCAAAGTAATGGGTCAGTCGGAGTCGTCCAGCCTTATTAACAATCAATAGAAACTTAATCATCGTCTGGGATCTGAAAAAAAAAATTAATAAAAACTATTATTATCATCAATTCCATGATCAGTAGGTTTACTGCAGCATGTCTTGGATAAAGTAAACCTGGTCGAGCCCATCCCGCTTCAGTCCACTACTACTACTACTACTACTACAATAATAATAGTAATAATAATTATCATTATTGTAGTAACAATAATAATAATAATAGTAATAATAATTACCATAGTTATAATAGTAATACTAACATTAGTAATAAAAAAATGACTATGTACGAAGCAAAGCTTAATTGGCCAAAAGTAGGAGTGCTTTAAGAAGAACCTTGCATACTAAAAACTGATGAAAAGATAAGCTGCCTCCAATAAAAATAATATTATGGAAGGATGAAATGGTCAAACTTTTAAGGCTACAATATATATATATATATATATATATATATATAATGCAGCCTTCCCTGACGATCCACTTAGGTGAAACCTTGGTAGGTTTTTCTGGCTCTCTAGGTTTAACTAGGTCTGCTCTACTTACTGTATTACTGTATTTAGTTATTTTGCCTACTAATTGTGGTTTTTTCTTTGGGTTTTGGACTTGCATGATAGACGATCATTTTGGTTAATGTATATGTTCTTGGTTCTTTCTTTTTTTATACCTTTTTTTTTTTCCTTCGGTATTGGTTTGATTATTTGCAAATCAAAACACTGAAGGTTTTCCAAACGAGTATAATTTTTTATATTTATAAGATTACTACTTATAATATATCACATCATCTGGTTTCAGATCCCTTCAAATGTATTTAAGTTGTTACGATGTTTGAATCTCCTTAGATTAGCATTTGCTTTAACTGAAAATTTGGCTTCTCAATTAAAACATAAAATAAATAATAAAGTATATTTTCCTCAATTTCTTCTTTAAATAATTTTATAATATTTTAGACTTAATACCGGTTAAATTTAAAATTGGTAATTTTTATTTTTAATTTTATATTAAAATTTAAAATTAATCAGTTCGAATGATTTCAGTTTTCGTCTAGCATTGACATTAAGGCATTAATTATTATAACCAAGGTTTGTTAAGGTTAAGGCATAATTATTATAACCAAGGTTCATTAAGGTTAAGGCATAATTATTATAACCAAGGTTCGTTAAGGTTAAAGCATAATTATTATAACCAAGGTTCGTTAAGGTTAAGGCATAATTATTATAACCAAGGTTCGTTAAGGTTAAGGCATAATTATTATTACCAAGGTTCATTGTCAAATTTTTTGAATTCTCGTATACTTGTATTTTGATTGTTCATTGTAGCTTATGTAACAGCGTTTTCCCTATTGAGAGGTGTTTGGTTGATTTGAACCTTTTAAAACCCTTTATTCTACATTCAACACCATCACTCGATAAGACACCAGAAGTATTGAAACAAAATGGCTATTTTTGTAGTGATATTATAACATGTTTATGTTATAATTTTTGAATAAGTAATATTTGCTCTACTTTGTATTGAGCACTCTTTTAAAAATAGTGTTTTTGGTCATTGAAATTTTATTATCTACACTAATCCTATAGTTGTGTGTCTGTGTATATATATATATATATATATATATATATATACATACATATATATATATATATATATATATATATATATATATATATATACAGTGCTGTTCGATGAAAGTGACCCACCTGATTTTTTTTACTAAATGTTCTCTTCTCCAATGTAACGAAAGTTGAGCTAAATTCAAAGGATAAGCGATCTAAAATTTGAAGAAGAAGCTTTGAAAGCTCTTTGAATTTAGCAGTAAGTACTGTCAAGCATCCGTTCAGTATAATGTTCTGGAGATGCTTTTCTTTTCATGGAACTGGTTTCTTGAAACCTATTGAAAAGACCCCCAGGAACGAGCAGTACAAGAGAATTTTAGAGTCTTGTCTGCTAATCTTATGCTGAAAGGGTGAAAATTTATGCCACCAAGCTCATTTTTATGCAGGATAATGTTCCCTGTCACAAATCAAAATTGATGAAGGAATACTTTGATGAGAAGCAGATGAGTGTTATGACATGGCCGCCCCAATCTCCTGACCTCAACCCCATAGAAAACTTATGGAGCATTATAAAGTACAGGCTCTCGAGAAAGTAGTTGAGCAACATGCTCCATAAGTGTTCTATGGGGTTGAGGTCAGAAGATTGGGGCGGCCATGTCATAACACTCACCTGCTTCTCAGAAGAAGAGAACATTTAGTAAAAAATATCAGGTGAGTCACTTTTATCGAACAGCACTGTATATAGCTAACCTGCAGGGTATTTTGAACTGAATGACTATGTATGAAGTGAAGATTCATTGCCAAAAGTGGAGTGCTTTAAGAAGATCTTGTATCCCAAAGAACTGATGAAGAGATCAACTATTTCCAATAAAAATAATATTATGGTAGGCTGAAATAGTCAAACATTTAAGGTTACAAAATATATATATCTGGGTAACCTACAAGGAATTTTGAACTGAAGCCTCTAATCTACAGGGGTAGATTGTTCTCGTTCTACTACCCATGTCTAAGGATATCTTGTCTAGTTCTTATTTTAGTACTGCTCAGTTATTGGCCACCCTGTTTCCACTGAATCCAAGTATATACTGCATGACTCAAGGATTGAACTCACAATTACTATTTCACCAAATTCACAAACTAATGCTGTAATCTAAAGTGAATTAACGCCACCTCAGCCCAGAAATTCAGACAGAAAAAAGATTATTATTTTGTCTGAAACTGATTTATAGAATATTTTCTAAAAATAGGTTCACTATAATCTGAATCTATTTGTTCGTTTTTATTAAATACTAGCAGTAGAGCCCGGCGTTGCCTGGGGATGTAACAGTAAGAGATAGATCAAGTATCGACCATCATAAAGACTGAAAAATAAAATTGACAAAGATTATTGTTTTAGGTTGACGGACACGCATGTCTTGATTAGTTTTTTTTTTTTTTTTTTTTTTACGAATTGGTCAAACTCAAACAAAATCATTGTTTTCAATCGTTATGAGTCTACTGATTGAATAAAACTTTTCAATTTTATTATAAACAATTGTCTTGTAAATGGAATTTTTAAAGCATTCTGAATGTAAAAATAAAGAAAAAAGTGTGCAAGACAATAAGAAACACTACCTGCCAAAAAAAAAAGTGAAGTTTTGTTGAAATCAGTTGAAAAATGTAGGAAATCTGATCCTATATATAAATGAACACATACACAAACAACCTGGGTTTTACAAATAAGTATAACTCGATATGAGTTGTCCCCTTTTCATTCTCGCGACAGTGATGACTCTTAATCGTGTTTTCAAATTGATTTTGTGCAAAAACAATTGTTTTTCCAATTTTTGGCACTGTCAGAACCACCGCAAGGTAATTTTATGTAGTCCTGTGAAGTTTTGTTAAAATTGGTTGAAAAATGTAGGAAATCCGATCCAATATATAAACGAACAGACACACACACACACAACCTGATGTTTTATAATAAGTATGATTTATATGGATTTTTAAAGTTTTTCTTCAAATTTTTTCTTTTTCCTAATTTTAGTAGAATTTTGTTGTTGTTCAGTGATTTTAACTTCAAACTTTTACACTGTAACAAAACAAGCAATAAATAAGTTGGGTTTCAAGTTCCTTTTAAAGTCTGCTTCAGCTCTATACTCCTGATGCTTGTTCTTTCCTATGCTAATAGGAGTCCACATAGTAACCTGCTACTTTGAGTGTCTCTTGAGCCTTTTATTGGTTGAACATTGGTGAGAGAGACAAAAAAATAACCTACTGTAATGGCTGGTGTGTCAGGTTTGGCAGAATGTGGTTTCAGTCTGTGTAGGTTCATGCAGCAGAAAGAGATCTACCGAGGACGAAAAACTTAGAACTAAAAAAAAAAACTTGTTTTTAGGAGTCCAAACTGGATCACAGGGTGATTTTCTTGGTTATCAAAAAGAAACCTTAATTCAAGCTTTTCATTGGTCAGAAATTTGAAATTTGGACTGCATTAAGTTAACGTTTTTCTTAACTGAAAACATGTATTGAACCCTAGGAAAAGGGACTAAATTTTATCATTTAGATTTCTGTCTGACATTTTCACATCCAGCTGTTGCTTCAGCCACACTGACCATTCTATGTTATGTAAGTTTTGGGAAAATGAAATAAAACAGATAAATAAAATAATAATAATGATAAAAAAAAAAAAAAAAGTTTCTCTTTTTGTTTTTTTTTTATTATTCATTATTTTATTTATTTTATTATTATATTTTATTTATTTATTTTATTTTATTATATATAATACTATTATTTTATTTATTTAAAAATACATTTTCCCCATGATGCTTAGAGTAAAGGAACTAGAATATGATTACTCCACTTGTTTTGAAAAATGTCGCTAGGTGGCACTGTTGAAGACTATAAAAAGGGAAATATTTTCTGCCTCACCTCCTTTCCCCCAATGTGAACCATGTGGTAATTATGTTCACACTGGGAATGTTAGTTTCCCCAGTCCACTGATGATTGAACTCTCTTCCCACTTTCCAACGCATGTCACTCACATGTTTCTTCCAAAACCTGAACCTCTGAAGTAAATCAAGCATTCTCTTTAGTTGTTGCAACTATGAAAAATCGACCAAAACCATAACCAGTAAATTTTGTCCATTCTCCAATGCAATGGTCATTATAAAATACCCAGAGATGAAATATAATATTGCATGATTAGCTGGTGTCTTTAGACAGCAAAACCATCCATGCTACAGTGAAAACAAACACACCTACCTTCACCACATTGTCAAGCAGTGGCGACTACATTTGGACATCATATGTATACATGTATATTTACATCCTCCCAGACGACCTATCTCAAGTGTGCACCAGTACTTCTACATTTGAACTCTTGAAACTTCAACTTTCACATCCTTCTGTATTATAATATTGTGTTACATAAACATTTATTCTCGATTTATCAACACTCTGTGCATTTTTTTTTAATCATTATACAATGCCAATATACACCCAAACCAAATATGCTGATATATGGTTGGAATAGACGTAAACAACTCATCCATAACTGATAACCTCCTAATCACCATGAGACCATGCTTGAACCTGAACCCATCAAAAACCCAGCCTCTTATCCCAAAAGTGGAGAAAATCCCAATAAATTTAACATTGAAAATTCAAGGAACTTTTAATTCAAATTTTAACGTCAAATTGAGACATTAATTATTAATAATAATAATAATAATAACCAACATATACAATTGACATAAACATATAAGAAAGAACTATTTCTGTTGGGCACTTCACAAATTTATGGGTCCACTCTGTTTGCAACAGAAATTCATTAATTCACTCAACCCACAAAAAAAAAAAAAAAACGTTTTCTAACAAAGTTATGGCCACATATTCGATATATTTCATAATTATCAAAATGTAAACAAACTATGGATAGCGTATCCGAATATTATGCCAAATTAAGGGCTTAAATAAAGCTTCTTGCTCATATAAGTCAAAGTGTACTGGATTATCTCAATTTAAATTTTAAACATCTAAAAATTTATTGAATTTTCAATGTTAAATTTGTTTCTTTTTGTTTTTACATATGATTTTTTTTTTTAATTTACGAGAAGGATTTTGTCCACTTTTGGGATAAGAGGCTGGAATTTTGTTGACTGGGTTTTTGGTTCTTGGACCAACCCAGGGCCATCATCTGATGAGATCTTTGGAGGTACTGCTGTTGCTGCTTCAGTAATCACTGTATTAACTAATCTTTACCTTGAATATAAATATGCTTTGCTAGGACAAATTTGAGCACATTTAGAACCAGCGTACAGTACTCTATTTATTCTAAAAATACAGCGTCATTTTTGGGTAACTGAAAAAAAATTGCTGCCCAGTGTAATTGAACTTGAGAGCTCACTAAAACAATATTTCTTGTTAAATATGTACAAATAGCGATTTACTAAATGTCGCTTAGGTGTGGCACAAGGCTGAAAGTGTGGGGGCACTCAGTGAGGATCGAATTCAAAACATAAATAATTCTTGCAATTATTTTTCCTACCCAAAAAAGTAACTTGGTAACGGGTAACTGCTGCCAATTACTCACCATCAGAAATTAATTTTTTGTAAAATAAATAATTTTTTTTTTGCAAAATATAATAATTATTAACTTACTAAGCTTAAGATATGAAAAATAAATAAATTTTTGGTTAAGAGTGTAAGGTTTTTTTTAGTCTTGCCTGGGAAACACTCAAAAGCGCAGTGACAACAAATCCTATGCGAAAAGAAAACGCAAAGTAGTCTCAGTTAAAAACAGCTGTAAATTAATGGCATTAAATTAAAACCATATTGTTTAGTTTAGATATGCATAGTGCTAAATAATTAAAAATGAAATAAAATAAAAAGAGTGTATACTTTTGAAAACTTTAAAGTTCTTAGTAAAAAAAAAAAGAAAATGATTTTGGTTTTATTTCGTTTTTCACCTTGTTAGTATTTTTATGAAACCGAATTATCATCAATTATGCTTTTAAATTTTAGAAGTATTTGATTTCTAACTTATTCACGCTCTCTAATCTTTATGGCTTTCGATATTAGAAAATATGAACTTGCAAATAAAAAAAAAGGACAAAAAAATTGAGAAGCTTTCTTGAATAAAAACAGACATCTGTTTCCACTGAACCGATTATTTTTTACCGTATCTCGTATTGCAAATTCTAATTCATCACAAGAATTTATTTTCAAAATATATTTTTTTAGCTTTTTTTCTTCTCTCAATTCAAAGAAAAACGAACATAAATAAAATTTATAGTAAGATGCTGGATCTCTTGTGGAAACTAATCAAGCTGGGTAAAAATTTTCGTATTCGAATAGAAACACCTCCGACAGCATGATCACGTGGTCTGATACGCCCTTCATGTTTTTTTTTTATTTAAAAAAATAACGATATTTAATAAAGATTTAAAAAAAAAAAAAAATGTCACGAGAAAAAAATTTAGATAATTTTTATTTTACGAAAATTCTCCCTTTTTTTTTTTATTATTGTTTTTTTTTTTTTTTTACCTGAGCAGGTAGCTATTTGTTTCAAGAAAAAAAGTTTTTTTAAAAGGCCAAACGGTAAAATATCACTAAAATAAATAATGGCAGTCACAAACCTGAATTCACAGCAGAAAATTCTGAAAGAAGTCCTGTAAAAATTGCTGTTGCTTTCCTTCAAGAACGAAATGAGATCAAAGAGAGAAAAACAAAATGGCGAACGTTCCTGCAATAATCTATGGAAGATCCTACGTGCTAATTTATATTGATATATGTATTCACGATTTAAATTTTTTCTAGTGATAATACATTTCATAAGTATTTAAATCTAGTCGCAGCATTAGACATGATATAGTGTAAAAAACTTATCTGCATCCCGATTTAGAGATTTTAACCTGAAGTAACCGATAAGATTAAGAAGAACCAAAAATTGTTATCCTATCCGATCGTATTTTTACACGAAGAGCAACGAGAATAATAATGAAAGTTAAAAATAAATGAAAATGTTTCCGCGTTCATAAAACTGAGGTCTAAACACGTTAGTGAAAATTTTTCAACTAGTTTAAAATCCCAGTGTCATTTTCTGGCAAAAAATGAAACTAGAACCCTCTGCTTAAAATTCTATTTGAAAACGTAGTTAAAACAGAAAACTACACAAGTCAATCAAGCACGAAATCGAACTCGCAGCTTATGTTTCTACTTTGTATGTGAAAGAAACAAGGTTAGCAGTGGTATATTTTTAAAAAAAGGGGGGGAATTTAATTTGAATCCATTTTCCTTTCTTATATTATGTATGAACTGCAGTTCAAACAATATTCATATGATAAGCAATTTTTTGTTTTATATTATCAACAAGTACGACCAAATGAAATTTAAATAGGTGTTCATTCTTATCTCCCTTACCTTTTGCGTCTTTGCTTTTTCTACTTGTATTCCTGCCGTAGAGTAGAGGTTTAGTAAGCAAGCAAGCCAGGAAGACACATTATTTAAGCCTGGGGATATAAACACTCGAAAATTTGCAAAAGGATAAAAATGAACATCTTTCTTTCTCTCTCTCTCTCTCTCTATATATATATATATTGTGGGGAGATTGCTTGAGATGTGAAACTGACAGCATACAGTGTTGATTCCTATGTTAATGGTGTCAATATATATATTTTATGTAAAATAAAATACGTATTTTAATTGACCTCCTGATTTTTAAAGCATATATATATATATATATATATATATATGTGTGTGTGTGTGTGTGTGTGTGTATATATAAAAATATATGTATAAATATTTATATAATTATTATATGTATGTAGGTACTTATTAGAAAGCGCTCAATATCAGAGATAGAGCTAACATATTTGGTTGGATAGATCCAGCCATATATATATATATATATATATATATATATATATATATATATATATATATATATATATATATATTATAGACAAGGTATGGTTGCAAGAAAGAAATACGACAACAGTAGAAATAGATTTACGTGGTTTATTTCAACAGGAACGTGAGGGTTTGGGACAGCTACCTTGTGGTAAAGTTCATAAGCCGGCTTTCGGATCTGGTCGATCTCTCATATTAGTTCACACATGTTGACGGTGGTTGACGCTCTCCTGCTGTCAGCAGCTGGACGACAGGTCTTTATCCTGGGCACCTGTGGACTGACTGTTGAACTTCCGTGTGACCCCTTTTATAGCGTTTTTTATGGCTTAACAGGCTCGAGAAACGAAGCGAGTATAATTAGGAGGGAAGCATTTTTATTGGACGAAAAATAGAACACTTTAAATATTATTTTATTTTTCGACCGGAACACGTGTGTCGGAAACATTTGTAAAGAAAGATAATGGTCATTTTGTGACGGGACTTTGTCCCGTTCACATGTCTTATTTTATTTTATAACAAGGCTCCCCCAGATCTCGGTCTCATTTACAGTGAGCGTTATTCGTGTATATTTGGGTGATTAATTCATGATAAAGTCTCTGAAGCGTGTGGGAAGTTGTCCTCGTGTTCTTCTTATTGGCATCTGTTTTGGTATGGGGTTATTTGCTGAATTATGTGTCCCCAAGGGATGTAGAGGAGAATGATCCTGGTGACTGTTACATGGTGGAGGCAGAAGGATTGTATTAGAAAGATGTGTTGGGCGTGGAGCCAGTCGTCGGATATATGTGCACGGTGAATCCAGATTGTATCACCATCATCGTTTTGCACCTGACACATCATATTGTTCGTTTTTATAATGGTGTAATTTCCTATCCAGGGCAGATGAGAGGATTGGGCTACAGTTGAGTGTGGCCGATGAAGTAAAACCTTGTCGCCTACTTGTATTGGGTCCTTGTATGTGAGGCGATTTAAGTTAGTCTCAAGTTTGTGGTCGGCTTCATCGTTGGCCAGGGTGACGTGGTGGTGAACCTGCTTTAGCAGGGCATTAATTTGCATTCCATATGCTCCAGGATCGTCGCTTTTGATTTCTTTTCTGTGTAGTGTAGGTAGGCCGATGTTGGGATGACGGCCGGTAATGGCATAGTGCGGGGAGACACCGGTGGCGCTGTTGGTCGTGGCATTCATGGACGAAACGATAGATTCTAGAATGTCTGTCCATTCACAGTTCCTGTCTTCGCATAACATATAAAGTGCGTTCTTCATCGTGCGATGTTGTCTCTCAATATTTCCTGAGCTTTGCGGGCGCCAAGGATAGTGAAGTTCTTGCGTGATTGACATCTGGTTACAGAATTGTCGATAGACTTCTCCAGTGAAGTGTGTGCCTCGATCAGAGGATACTATGCGTGGAATCTCTCTGTGTCGAAGGAAGAAATGGTACAATCCGCGGGCGGCGTCGATAGCACGGTCTCTCGCGCATGGTATGGCTGTAAAATGTCGGCTGAAGCTATCCAAGATGGTTAGGATGTAGCGTTTTCCCTTTGAGTTGGGCATTGTGACAAAGTCTATAAAGACATGATCGAATGGTCTCTTTCCTCGTTTGCAGTGGCCAATGGGCCAGTGGGTACGTCTACCGTAGTTGCCCTTGCACTTATCACACGTGTCGCAAGAATCGACATAGGCCTTGATGTCGCAGTTTTTGAATTCCCACCAGTAGCTGGAAAGGAGTTCTCGCATACGGGTGACACCTGAGTGGTTGTTGCCCTCGTGTGCCTGGTAGAGATATCTGGGTCGTAGTTTGTATGATACAACCAATCTCGGAGAGTGTTTACTATCTCTTATCATCAAAACGGAGGTGCCTGGTTCTAGAAAAAATTGGTGGAAATGTTTTTTGAAAAGCGTAAATCGGTGGTCGTCAGGATCGATATGAGGTTCGCTTGGAGTGGGTGACTGGAGGGCGCTGATGATCTTTGCCAGGGCGTCGTCCTTCAGTTGTTCATCTGCGATGCCGAGGTGGTTGCAGATTCTCTCAGTGGGGATGGTGGTGGTGGAGTGATAGGCGAAGAATGCGTTGGTGGCGCGCTTGTGGGTGCGGGCGTTTTGTGGTGTGTGAGTTTTGGGAATGAGCTGTAAACCGTTAAACTCGCCGAGGCAGCAAGATGGGATGTATACGCGGAGGTCTGAACCGCTTACCTCGAATGTCCTGCCTGCCGGTGTAGGGTCATTCAGGGCTTTCGTTTTTCTTATGTCCGCAACCTGTGCTGAGCATGTCAGCCCATACATTTGATTCGCCTTCAACATATTCCAAGACGAATTTATAACATGAAATTTCTTCTTGCCATCGTCGTATTTTTGGCATTATTGAACTCTCGTTGGTCCAGGTATGTCAGCGATCTGTGGTCGGTGAAGATGACGAAGGGCGGTTGCGAAGGAAATAATCAAATTTCAATATTGCCCACTTTATTGCATATGCCTCTCGTTCCGTCGTGGACCAGTTCTGTTCCGTGGAGTTGAATGTATGGGAAGCGACCGCTATGATATCTTTCTTCCCGTTGTCGGCTTCTTGCATTAAGATTGCTCCACATGCGACGTCACTGGGGTCGGTGGTGAGCGTGAAAAGTTTGGAGAAATCTGGAAACGAGATGACAGGTGGTGAAGAGAGACGGTCCTTGATTTTTTTGAAGGCTCTGTCGGCATTTTGCGTCCAGACAAACGGTTTATTAACCTTGTTGAGTTCGTGTATGGGACCCATAAGTTTTGAAAACATATCTGACCTGATTTGTTCGTGAAGACGTGTCTCTCGGAATTGTCTGATCCACACTAAACGTCCGATAAGGTTTTGTAATTCCTTTTTTGATGTTGGAGGTTTCATTTCCCTGATGGCACGAACGTATTCTGGATCAGCCTTGAATCCTTCGCTGTTTACTATGCGTCCGAGGAATTTTGCCTCTGATGCGAGGAAGGAACATTTATCAGGATTCAGCTTGAGTCCGAATTTTCGAAGGGCAGTAAAAAATTGTTCGAGGGAGAGTATGTACTCCCTAAATGTCCTAGCGTGGACCAGGTTGTCGTCGATATAGGAAGAAATGTTGTCACGGGATGTGACCGTGGCTAGGGCTTCTGCTATGCAACGGGAGAAGATTTGTCCGGCAGATGTAAGGCCGAAGGCCAGGCGCGTGTATTGATAGCATTGGTCCTTCCATGTAAATGCTGTTTTGTATCGGTCTCGCTTGTCGATCTCAATTTGCCAGTAGCCGCTGCGTAGATCAAGGGTAGTAAAATATCTATTGTCTTTGCCGATTTTGTTGAACAAGTGGTCGATCCTTGGCATTGGGTAAGGGTCAAGATCGACTAAGACCTTGTTGAGAGTTCTTTTAAAGTTAGCAACGACACGAATCGATCCGTTTTTCTTGCGTACGGCAAGTACAGGGCTATTGAAGCCTTTGGGGTCGCTGCAGTTTTCAATGATACCTTCATCAGCCATACGCTTAATTTCGGTATCTACGTCTGCTTCCAAGGCCTGGGCTATAGGGTGCTGTTTCTGGCTGCGAGACTGACCGTTGGTTGGTATGCGGATGGGTCGGATGAATGTGCCTTTGCTGCTGCTTTCGGTGCCGATAATGTCGGCGTAGCGAATGAGTAAGTTTGCAGTGGCCTCTAGTTCGTCTCGGTTCGGGTGGTTTGGTAGCGATAGTCCCGTGTTATGTTTTAGCCAGGTTAGCTTTTGACTCAGTGTCTGGATGTTGGGCTGTAGTTCCATAGTAGGCTGGTTTTGGATGATGTCAGCTTGGGCGCCATATGCTGGATTGCTGGTTGACGATGACGGTGATATAATTGCGGCTGTGTGTGTTGTATATCCTGAGGAAAGTGTGCGTCTGAATTCTATAGTCGCATTTTGGTTGTCGATTAGATAGGAATCGAGCGTGTTCTGACGTAGGATATTTTGGCCGATCAGGATTGGTGGTTTGGGTAGTTACCAACACGTTAACCTTTTTTGAATGTGGGTGAGTCTCGACTGCCGATGGTGATGTCGCAAGTCAGTTCGCCGAGGGCGGTGGTGCTGCCGTTGATTCATTTTACTACGACGTCGGAGCGGGTCATGAGTTTCTTGGCTTCTCTGGGTAACCGAGATA